GGGAAGTGTGCCCTCTGTGCCCGAGGACAAGGGAGCACAAGGGTCTGTGTAACTTGCTCCCCTGCCCGCAGCCCAGTGCAGAGAAGCCCAGTGCTTAACAGAGGGCCTGGGGACCATGTATCACATAGGAATTTAGGAGAGCTAAGGCAGACCTGTACAATGTCACGAACCTCCGTCCATAGTTCATCAGGCACTCTGTCTATCAGATCTAGTCCCTTAAATCTATTTCTCACTTGCACTGTATAATCATAAGGGATTTGATTTAGGTCATACCTGAATGGTCTAGTGGTTTTCCCTACTTTCTTCAATTTAAGTCTGAATTTGGCAATAAGGAGCTCATGATCCGAGCCACTGTTTTTGCTGACTGTATAGAGCTTCTTCATCTTTGGCTGCAAAGAATATAATCAATCTGATTTCAGTGTTGACCATCTGGTGATGTCCATGTGTAGAGTCTTCTCTTGTGTTGTTGGAAGAGGGTGTTTGCTATAACCAGTGAGTTCTCTTGGCAAAACTCTATTAGCCTTTGCCTTGTTTCATTCCGTACTCCAAGGCCAAATTTGCCTGTTACTCCAGGTGTTTCTTGACTTCCTACTTTTGCATTCCAGTCCCCTGTAATGAAAAGGACATCCTTTTTGGGTGTTAGTTCTAAAAGGTCTTGTAGGTCTTCATAGAACCTTTCAACTTCAGCTTCTTCAGCATTACTGGTTGAGGCATAGGCTTGGATTACCATGATATCGAATGGTTTGCCTTGGAAACAAACAGAGATCATTCTGTTGTTTTTGAGATTGCATCCAAGTACTGCATTTTGGACTCTTTTGTTGACCATGATGGCTACTCCATTTCTTCTAAGGGATTCCTGCCCACAGTGGTAGATATAATGGTCATCTAAGTGTACAAATAGCTATGAAGAGAAGAGAAGTGAAAAGCAAAGGAGAAAAGGAAAGATATTCCCATTTGAATGCAGAGTTCCAAAGAATAGCCAGGAGAGAGGAGAAAGCCTTCCTCAGCGACCAGTGCAAAAGAAATAGAGGAAAACAACAGAATGGGAAAGACTAGAGATCTCTTCAAGAAAATTAGAGATACCAAGGGAACATTTCATGCAAAGATGGGTTTGATAAAGGACAGAAATTGTATGGACCTAACAGAAGCAGGAGATATTAAGAAGACGTGGCAATAATACACAGAAGAACTGTACAAAAAAGATATTCACAACCCAGATAACCACGATGGTGTGATCACTCACCTAGAGCCAGACATCCTGGAATGTGAAGTCAAGTGGGCCTTAGAAAGCATCACTATGAACAAAGCTAGTGGAGGTGATGGAATTCCAGTTGAGCTATTTCAAATTCTGAAAGATGATGCTGTGAAAGGGCTGCACTCAATATGCCAGCAAATTTGGGAAACTCAGCAGTGGCCACAGGACTGGAAAAGGTCAATTTTCATTCCAATCCCAAAGAAAGGCAATCCCAAAGAATGCTCAACCTAACTCACAATTGCACTCATCTCACACGCTAGTAAAGCTCAAAATTCTCCAAGCCAGGCTTCAAGAGTACATGAACTGTGAACTTCCAGATATTCAAGCTGGATTTAGAAAAGGCAGAGAAACCAGAGATCAAATTGCCAACATCTGTTGGCTCATCGAAAAAGCTAGAGAATTCCAGAAAAACATCTATTTCTGCTTTATTGACTATGCCAAAGCCTTCGACTGCGTAGATCACAATAAACTGTGGAAAATTCTGAAAGATAAGGGAATACCAGACCACCTGACCTGCCTCTTGAGAAACCTATCTGCAAGTCAGGAAGCAACAGTTAGAATTGGACATGGAACAACAGACTGGTTCCAAATCGGGAAAGGAGTATGTCAAGGCTGTATATTGTCACCCTGCTTACTTAACTTGTATGCAGAGTACATCATGAGAAACACTGGGCTGGAAGAAGCACAAGCTGGAATCAAGATTGCCGGGAGAAATATCAATAACCTCAGATATGCAGATGACACCACTCTTATGGCAGAGAATGAAGAGGAACTAAAAGCCTCTTGATGAATGTGAAAAAGGAGAGTGGAAAAGTTGGCTTAAAGCTCAACGTTCAGAAAACTAAGATCATGGCATCTGGTCCCATCACTTCATGGGAAATAGATGGGGAAACAGTGGAAACAGCAGCTGACTTTATTTTTGGGGGCTCCAAAATCACTGCCAATGTTGATAGCAGCCATGAAATTAAAAGCCGTTTAGTTCTTGGAAGGAAAGTTATGACCAACCTAGATAGCATATTAAAAAGCAGAGACATTACTTTGCAAACAAAGGTCCACCTAGTCAAGGCTATGGTTTTTCCAGGGGTCATGTATGGATGTGAGAGTTGGACTGTGAAGAAAGCTGAGCGCCGAAAAATTGATGCTTTTGAACTGTGCAGTTGGAGAAGACTCTTGAGAGTCCCTTGGACTGCAAGGAGATCCAACCAGTCCATCCTAAAGGAGATCAGTTCTGGGTGTTCATTGGAAGGACTGATGCTGAAGCTGGAACTCCAGTACTTTGGCCACCTCATGCAAAGAGTTGACTCATTGGAAAAGACCCTGATGCTGGGAGGGATTGGGGGCAGGAGAAGGGGACGACAGAGGATCAGATGGTTGGATGGCATCACTGACTCGATGGACATGAGTTTGAGTAAACTCCGGGAGTTGGTGATAGACAGGGAGGCCTGGCGTGCTACAGTTCATGGGGTTGCAGAGTCGGACACGACTGAGCGACTGAACTGAACTGAAGGCAGACTTTAAAGAAGCAAGCACTGGAGTTAGTTTCCTCTGCCCGACATTCTGATTGGTGTGTTGTCATCAGGTTTTGGGTGTCGAACCCATTACTTGATATATTCTATGTTAGCTTTTTCTCTATGGTTAACGCCGGGGACGTGGGCTCCCCTATCTTCTGCTCCCCCAGAAGACATAAGGTGTGGCGTGTGCCAGAAAACGTTTAAACGCAAGGAATTCCTGCGGCAGCACATGAGGACGCATGCCCCCAGTCGGGACGTGTGCCGGTGTCCACGGGCAGGCTGTGGCCGCACCTACACCACCGCCTTCAACCTCCAGAGCCACATCCTCTCCTTCCATGAGGAGCAGCGCCCCTTCGTGTGTGAGTACGCCGGCTGCGGCAAGACCTTTGCCATGAAGGTGAGCCCTGTCCACCCACCCACCCCGGGGGCGGGGGGCTGTTCTTGGGGTCTGCATCTTTTCTGCCAAGCTCCCAGGAGATGGGGGGGCCGGAGGGCGGGGTCTGGCCTATCGCTCTGGCTCCAGCAAGAGTGGTTCTTCACCAAGCTGGGCAAACACCAGATGGGCCCCTGCCTTTGGTTCTCGAAGTCCAGCTCTCAGCATGGCTGGAACCTGCCAGAAACCTGCTCCAGACCCACTGACTCGGAAGTCTGGGGGATGGGTCCACTCATTTGTGTTCTAACCAACTTCCCGGGTGATTCTTAGGTGACTAAATTTGAGACCCAGTAGCCGGTGGCACCATATGCGTACTGTTCATAAGAGTCTCCTGATGTCCTAGGTGTCCTTTTGAACTGCAGTGGTCTGGGGATTGGGAACAGGGTGGGGTCTTAGAGCTTCGGGAAACTAGTCCAGATTTTGAGAGCAGGACCCGGCCCTGCAGACCTGTGCCCCATTGCTGTCAGGCAGTGGCAGTGAACTACAGTAGACAGTGGTGGGTGAGGGTCATGGTCAGCGTCAGGGCGGAGGAGACCAGACCTGGGCCAGGTTTTCCAGGGGTGTTGGGGGTGCTGTAGACACCAGGGCAATTAGAAGAGACTCCCTCCTTCAGCTTGGAAGAGTCCATTCAGAACTGGCCCCCTCCCACCCCCACCCCCACCCCTCTGCAGGCGGGGAGCACACACACTCCTAACCTGGGTCCTCCAGGAAGGCAGGATTTCAGTGGAGGAGGGAGCAGTGTGCTGCAGTGCTAGAGGTCGGATCGCTCCGCAGAACAGAACAGAAAGAAGGATGTTGGTTTATCTGAGTAACTCAGGGGACTTTAACAGACTCCAAAGGCGTCTCACAAATAGACTTACTGTCTCTCTCTACTTCATTGCAGCAGAGCCTCAGCAGGCATGCTGTTGTGCATGACCCCAACATGAAGAAAACCAAAGTAAGTTGAGACTTAGCATGCTGTTAATTTTAAAACATCATAATTGCTTAAACCAGATGCTAAATATGCTATTTGGCATATTTTCAACTACTTATTAGTTTGTGAGTCTGTATGACTATTTAAGGCAGTTGGGTGGAGTTCACGTCCTTATTTAAGACAGTTTTGTTGTATGCTGCAGTAGTTGCATACCTGACAGGCATACGATTCTGATAGTTTTGATTCTGAATTAGTCATCCCTTGGTACCCACGGGGAGTTGGCTCTGGGCCCCCCAGGATACCAGAGTCCACAGGTGCTTGAGTATATGTGGATTTTCAACTGTGCTGGTGTCCATGTGCCTAACCCCCCTGCCCTCCTGCCCCTGAGTTCCAGGGTCATCTGTATTTGTATGTGACCTCCGCACATCCTCCTGCGTACCATGAATTATCTCTACGTTACTTATGATACCTAACACAATGGAAATGCTGTGTAAATTGTTGTCAGCACATGGCAAATTCAAACTTTGTCTTTTGGAACTTTTTGGATTTTTCCTTTTTTAAAAACACTTTGGATGGGCTATTGGTTGACCCAGCTGCAGAACCTGCAGACACGAGGCCTGACTGGGTCTGTCTTCCTTATTCCCCAAGGTGAGGCCGTCTCGTGGGAAGCGGAGCCTGGCCTCCCGGCTCAGTGGGTACCTCCCTCCTAAGAGGACACAGGACCAGGCTGTGCCTTTGCCAAGGAATGGGGAGCCGCTGAGCTGCATAGAAGGCCACGTGCACTCCATGTCGCCATGCTGACCGCAGCTGTACATCCACCTGCGCTGTGTGGAAGACCACAGACCAGCCACTGCAGTTCTCTCTTCCAGAAGCATGTGTTTATTAAAGTCACTGGGGCAGGACACCAGATGCTCTGTCCTTCCCGTCTCCCCTGTTCAGAGTGTCTCCTCTCGGGGTGCCCAGAGCTGCTCTCCACGCAGCCTCCTCCTTTTTGCTCAAGGGACGGAGAACACACATCACAGCCTTGCCTCCTCTGATGGGCTGTGGCCGGGATGAGAAGGTTGCAATTCCAGACATGGTCTGGACGATTCGATTACACATCTCCTCCTGGAAGAGGAAACAAAAGGCTAGTGTAAAACCAGCACCTCTGATTCTTGCCAGTGTTCATGCTTATCTGATACCCATAAAAGCCAACATTCTTGAATTGCTATATAAGGGATTTGCTAAGTCAAATCATATAGACCTCGTTAAGCTGATCGAAACCTGTACAATAACCAGGTGGTTATACAAACTCCATGTAGCTAGTCCAACACGCTAAAGGCTTGATAGTTTTGAATCCCCCGTCATGACACTAAGGCTATGTTTGGCCCAGACCACCCTCTCACAAAAAGTGCAAAGTGGTGGGTTTGGGCACTGGCAGGGCACCCTCATCCCCTAGACTGTCAGCTCGGTGCTGTTCCCAACTGTCCAATTGTCAGCTCGGTGCTGTTCCCAACTGTCCTTCACAGAGTCATTGAGATGGTTAGAAAAAGACAGACACATGGTTCTAGAGATTCTGGGTGGGCTGGACTGGGCCCAGGGCCTGGGTCATTCCAGCCTGGAGCCAAGGCTGAAAACCACTGGAGTAAATGCTGCCTTTATCTGCTGCTAAGCTGTGCAACTCCAAAAGCGAAATCCACAGATCATCCACATACTTACCCTGGGACTGTAAACTAACACTTAAGCTTGACTTGAATGCTTCTCATAGGCATTTATAAAGAGGAATTGGACTTAGAAAGATGAACCCATTACAGTGTCTAGTCTTCCTATTTAAATGTTGGACCCTCTACAGTTTGTGAAGTAGAATAGTATATAGCCCTTAAGTGAGGAAGGAGTGTTCTCACATGGCGAAGTACTAAATGCTACGGTGGGAAAAAAGTGTACATTTTGCATTTTGAGAACCCAATTAGAAAGCTGCCACCAAGACTGGGCAGAATTACTACTTTTCTCTGCCTTTACGTTTTCCAGGTTTTCCACAGCTGTACTTGTTAAGTCCAGAAAACACAGACAAGCAGTCATTCAGGTCTGTTTTCACTTACCATTTTCTTCTCGGGCTCGTCTGCACTCTTCGCTTTCTTTACTGTAATCTGGACTTTGTACTTTTTTTCGATCCACTGCTGAATCTGTTTACTCTTTGTGTCCAGATCATGTTGTCCAATATTTGAAGAAAAGGTCAGTTCCTTGGTCAGGGTGGGTCCTGGGTTGAAAGAGTGATATCTGGGGCTGGTCTGTGAGGCTTGTGTTTTATCACAAGCGCGTCCTAAGGCCTATGCTGTACAGGCCCTCCTGTCTGCCTGGTATTAAGTTTCACCCTTCAGTTAAATAGAGGAGACAGACACAAGGTGAAATACCACTTTTGTAGTTGCCAAGTAAGAGTACCTAAACAGGGAATGCTTCCATTTATCATGACCATTGTTTGATGAAAGAACAAAGGAATGGTCCTTTAAAGAGAACCAGGTAATTTTTTTTTTCTTATTTTGGGTGGTGGATAACAGGTGTTCACTGTGCTTTTTATCATTTTTTAATTTAAATAAAAATAATTTTTCTAAAAAGGAGCATCTCCTTGCTTCTCAGAGCCCCTACCAGCTGGTCAGAGTCCTCTGTCAGCCCTTCTGTCACCTCTGAACCAAGCTTTTCAGGCCGTTCACCTTTTTTTAACTGTGACGCAGTTTGATGCCCTTAGCACCGCAGATGGTCTCTTTGGATATTTTTTGTTTCCTAGTCAGTATCCCTGTTGCTAAATGTCGTGTCATAGAATTGACACATTCTGACCTCTAGTGATCAGCAGCTACTAGCCATCATGAAAAACAAACGTCTTCACTTAACTCAGCTCACAGCTTCTGTAAGGTTTAAGTGACAAGTTGGTAAAACCTGTTAAGTGTTCCTACCCTATTGCAGTGGGCATGGGGGATGCTCTGGGGATGACTTCAGAGTTAGGAAGTGTGCTTCTCTGTAATGAACTGCCTGCCTCCCCTCAGAGATGAGGGGAGAGAAGGAGGAAGGGACCCAGGGCAGGCGAGAGGCCAGGACAGGACCAGGAACTCGTCCCCACCTCTCCCACACCTCACCCCATGCGGCACTCTGCAGTCCTGGCCCTGGGAGGCCCCACCACGGTCAGGGGGAAAAGAGCGCCCGTCGTTTTGGCGGTGGTTGCCTTGTCTGTCCCTCATTTTGCACAGGTGTAAAGGGAGAGATGACGGACACACAGTAGCAAGGAGAAAAGGAACAGAAGTGGATGAAAAACACACACTGGACACAGTAGTAAAACAGGATTCCAGTTACTCACCGGCTGTTACAGGCACCTGGCAGATGCCCAATTTAAACTGCAGATCTACCGGCCCGAGGGAGACGGGAGCAGAGAGCAGGGTACCTACCTGGCTTGGGCATGGCCCTCTCCGCCTCTCTGAGCTGCAGCCGCTCCTGGTGGATCTGTGCGCCCGTCAGGAGCTGGTACTGCGGGGGCTCCGCGTGGGGGTCCCTCTTCACCAGCCGCAGGTCCCGCTCGGCCATGAGCCTGATCACGTTTGCCCGGTGCATGTGGCCCAGGTCGTTGCCTTTCTCGTCCAGCACGTGAATGATGCGCTCGTTGATTTTTCTCCCAACGCTACTGAAAGCCGTCTCGTTCTTTTTTTTCTTTGTCCTCTCATCCTGGGTGTCTTTAGTGCTAAAAGCTTTTGCGTGAATGAGGCAGGACGGTCTTGGGGACAGCTGTGTGGGTGCCAGCCCCTGTAAGATGTATTTGCCCAAACATCTTCTAATGTAGTAATTCTCAGTCTTTACAGTTTGTAATGTTAACTTCTTGAGGAAAAGAGCAGCCATCCTATAAAGCAGGGAGAAAAGAGCATTAAAACCCAGCTGTTCATTCCCACGGGTTAGTGCTGTGGTACACGGAGGTGGCTGGTCAGAGGTGAGTGAGAGGGACGCGGTGCCTCAGGCAGCACTTCTTGGGGACGCTCCTGGGTCTCCTGCTTGAGCATTGCTGGGGTGTGTAAGGCTGGGACTCCCTCTGGTCCAACTTAGATCCTCCTGGGCTGTGTATCTCAGCCCTCCTGCCCGTCACCACTGCACACACCCACTGTTGACCAGTGATATGGGGGGAAATGAACAGTAAATAGCACAGAAAGTGATGGGAGGTGCACACTCTCACTGCCCTGCCCTCAGATACCCAGGTCAATCCCTGGAACGCCATCCCTGCAGAGGTGACTGCCCGCCCAAGCCCTCCAGCCAGACAGCACCCTCGGGTCAGCATGTGCAGGACTGAGTTCCACCTGCTCTCCCACCCCCAGCTCAGGCCTCCTGTCTCTATAACACACATGCACTTCGTGTGTGATATAGAGCTAAGTGATCCCCAAACAGCTAAGTGATCCTTGGCCCTTCTTTTTCTCTTAACCGTTCATCAGCAGATCCCCTTGTTCCACCTCTAAAAGCCACCAGGACCCAACCACTCCCCATCCCCTCCCTTGCCATCACCCTCCCCCGAGTGCCATGATCACCTCTCACCTGGGTCAGGTCCCAGCCTCCTGACTGCCTCCTGCAGCTGCCCTTGCCCCTGATGACCCATCACCCACACTTAAAGCATGGATGTCAGACCATGGACCCCCTATGCTCATAGCCCTCCTGGGCCCCCGCCTCACTCCAGAGCCCTCCCTCACCCTACCCCACTCCACCCACAGCACCCAGCCCACCTCCTTCACTCACTCTTCCAAGCTTGCGGGCTCCTTGCTGTTCTTGTAGACACTGCACACACACACACCCACCCCTGTGATCCTTTCCCTCAGATGAGGCAGCTTCATTCAATCCTCAGCAACACCCTGCCTGTCCACACTGTAAATGACACACCCCATCCTTGCAAACCCATCACTTTGCCCTTTAAAAGCATTCACTGCTGACATCTGCACACAATGTTCGTGATCTTCCCTCAGTAGCATGTAAGCTTTGTGAGAAAACATGTCTGTCCGCTGGGTTAGGAGCACAGCAAGGAACCGACTAGGTTCTAACCCGGCGCCTAGAGTCTGCCCCAGTATATGGCTGCATCCTCAGTATCCTCATGGGGCAGATTCCAGGGCCCCCGGAGACACCCAAATCCACGGATGCTCGAGTCCTGCATGTAAAACACTGTGTGTTTGCATGTAACCTGTGTACATCCTTCCACATACCACATAGTCTCTAGGTTCCTTAAAAAACCTAACAGTGGAAATGGTATGTAAACAGCTGCCTGGCATAGCAAATCAGTCTTGCCTTTTGGAACTTTCTGGAGATTTTTTTTCCTTGAGTATTTTTAGTCATGGATGGATGCATCCATGGATGCAGAACTGGTGGATACGGAGGACCGGCCATATGTGCTGAATGAACGTGTGAGTTGAAGGAGGTGGTCAGGAGGGAGGCCGTGTCTGCGGACATTTATCCTGGGCCTTCAGGTGCATCACCCCACCCGCCACACAGAAGGCTGGTGAGTGCGGTTATCTGTCCATTCTAGAAATACTCAACTTTCCTCCTTATATCTTCTTCCTTTATTCAAAACCTAGGGTCTTTTTTCCCAGGAGTATTTGATCATATCACTACGTCAACTTCTTCTGACAATTTTCTATACTACCATGAGAAAATATTGTCAGATTTATGAATAAACCTTAAATAAAATGACCCATGCTTTACCAAAGAAGAAAACAGTTCCTAGCTGGCATTTCAAATGTCTGCCACCCTCCACGAGATCCGTGATGTTTCATCTGCAGTGAATGAGGCACCTGGAGTCGTGCAGAAGGACCCCACCTGCAGATGCTGCAGAGGCCCCAGGACTGGGCTGAAACTGGGTTTAAATAGCGGAGCCACATCCAGAGTCTACAAGCAGTCAACGCGGGCGAGGGTGGGGAAAGGGGGCCTCTCACACTGCTGGTGGGAAGGCAAACAGGCACAGCCGCTACGGAGAACAGTGAGGAGAGTCCTTAGAAAACTGGAAAGAGAGCTGCCAAATGACCCAGCAATCCCACCACTGGGCATACACACCGAGGAAACCAGATCTGAAAGAGACATGTGCACCCCAATGTTCATCACAGCACTGTTTACAATAGCCAGGGCATGGAAGCAACCTAGATGTCCATTGGCAGATGAATGGATAAGAAAGCTGTGGTACATATACACAATGGAATATTACTCAGCTATTAAAAAGAACGCATTTGAATCAGTTCTAATGAGGTGGATGAAATTGGAGCCTATTACACAGAGTGAATGAAGTAAGTCAGAAAGAAAAACACCAATAGAGTGTATTAATGCATATATATGGAATTTAGAAAGATGGTAACAATGACCCTATATGTGAGACAGCAAAAGAAACACAGATATAAAGAACAGACTTGGACTCTGGGAGAAGGCAAGAGTGAGATGATTTGAGACAATAGCATTGAAACGTATATTACCATATGTGAAATAGATCACCAGTCTAAGTTCAATGCATGAAGCAGCCACTCAAAGCTGGTGCACTGGGACAACCCAGAAGGATGGTTTGGGGAGGGAGGTCGGGGTGGGGGGCATTCAGGACAGCAGGACACATGTACACCCGTGGCTGACTCGTGCTGATGTATGGCAAAAACCATTACAATACTGTAAAGTAATTAGCCTCCAATTAAAATAAATTTTTAAAAAGTTAAAATAACTAATCATAAAACACCATAAAATACATACCACTTTGGAAAATTAAAATAAATAAATAGCTGAGCTACTTACTGCCCAACAGCAAACAATCAGACACTTATTCACGGAGAAAGCCCCCAAAGCAAAAAAAGCAGAAAAGTCTGAAGACGCTGGAGAAAACTTCTGTTTATCATGAAAAACCACACGTGCCCTGTGTGATGAATCAGCAATCCATTACATAGAACAAGGGAGCAAATAAACTAGGCACAGGAAAAAGATGGAATTTAAGAAGAACCCTGAAATTTTCCTCAGGTTGAAGACACAGTGATTTTCTTTCCCCTATTCTTCCTAATTATCATTCTCTAATAAGGAGGAAGTATTTTTTATACTAATAAATAAATTATATGTATTTACAAAATAAAAACTGTTTCTGAAAGATAAGTTTTTAAAAAAAGCTTTAAAAACACTTTCCAAAAAGAGGAAAAGGTAAATAGTAGAAAAATACTTTACTTTTTTTAAAGCGTCTTTACTGTTATTCAAATTTTAAAAGGGTTTAAACCTTCTTGACTTACACAGCAGTTATGCGTCAATACTAGCTGAATTTTGACTTTAGATCAGCAAAGTTGAAGATATACATATTTCTTCAAAATAAACTTTAAATAGATAAACATATAAATACAGAGTTGGGGGTAAAAAACCTGTGATATTAAATCTGAGAGATAAATAACAAATTCAAGTCATTGAGAAACTTTTTATCAGGAAAATTCTCAAACATGTACAGAAGAAAGAGCAAAAGGAAGCCTGAAGCATCTGTCGCTCAGCTCCCTGACCCTCAGCACGTCAGCCAACGTGCTTCCTCTCCACCAACAACTGCTCCCCAGACCCCACTATCCAAGAATGACTTCACAGTAAATCCCATCTCATCAGCAGACAATTGAGTACATCACCTCTAAGAGCTGAGGACTTTTTTATCTTCTGAACAACCACAGTAGCACATCTCAGCTAATAATCATTCCTCTACATCATCAAATATCCAGGCTTCAGACGTCCCTGGTAGTTATCATTCTGTTTATGTTTCATTTACAACTTGATTGCATGAAGAGACTCTCACTGGCCAAATGTATAATCATTTACACAGCAGTGACTGAAATTCATTTCAACACACCAACCATGCAAAAATTCATGAAAAAGACAGTTGGCCACAACTCTATGTGACTAATACACTGGCTACTTACTTTGGAAACTGGTCATTAAAGAAAAAGAACTAAGTATTTATCCTACCTTTTTAGGGAGAACTATAATCATCCCCAGTCGATGAAGAAAAGTGTTCTTTAGAGGAGAATGCCAGCTAATACCTGGGGAAGAAAAATAAAAGTTAATTGAAAACCACCATTTTCCCATCTCCAATCAGACCACCAATTCAGCCTTGTTGTTCAGTCTCTAAGTCGTGCCTGGCTCTTTGTTCAGGCCTAGATGGATGCAAACATCATTGGGTAAAAGGCTGATAAGGAAACAAGGAGTTCATGGGGTGCCAAAGGGTGCCCCAAGGAATACTTCCAAATGGAAGCAGGAAACATGCTCCAGCTGTCACCCCATAATGGGTCAGACTCAGCACTCTGACACCCTAACACTCGTCTTTTTGTGGGACGGGTGATCCTTCTGTGAAACGGGACTGCCGAAAAGGCTGAACCCGAACAGCATCAAGCCTCTAGACTGAGCTCCTGGTTTTCAAGGATACAAGGGCCAGACTCTGAGAGGAACAAATCAGATGACGCAACAAGGAAACCACTGACAAATCCAGACTATGGGACAAGACCGGTGGCTTCAAGCGTTAGGAAAAAATCAGTGTCACTGGGAACTTGAACTAAAAGACTAAGGAGACATAAAATACAATGTTTAAAAGAGAAGCAATTAAAAAGACACATGGGGATAAGGGAGGAAGAACTGCATATGGCCTAGATTCATGATGGATTAGACTCTATGAGAAAAGTACTGTTTTCTCAGCCATAAAAATGGCATTCTGAGGGAATCTTAGGGAGTGAGTCATGACATCTGCTTACTTACTCTGAAATGGTTCAGCAGCAAATAAATGTGATTATGGCAACATCTGCAGAATCTCACTTAAGCTTGTATGAGTGTTTAGTTGTTAAGTCTTTCAACTTTTGTATGTTTAAATTTTTTTTTCATAATTAAAA